TCATTTATAACACTCTGATCTACAGACCTGACTGATTAAAGCAGTGCACACACACACACACACACACGCGCTGTGCTTAATAATCAACCCCACCTATGAAATGAAACAAACTAAAATTAAAATGAAAACCGGAAATATAACAATAAAAGCTGATTCAAATCTGCAGATTTTTGTATTAGTTTGGTACTAGTTAATCTGCTTCATTTGGTAGAAGGGATTCTGCCAGGGTTAATTATGTCAAACGGAGCTGACAGCACCACACTTTTATTGGTAGCACACACTCTATTCAGAGATTTATCACCTGCTTTTCTCCTTCAGTAAGCGAAAGGTCAAACGCTGGAGGTCCATCTGTGAGGCCGCCAAGATTCATGGATAAAAGTCTGATCACAGAGGGGGAGAAACACACAGTAAGAGGGAAAGCGAGATCCTTCCATCTCTGTCTGCAAACCAACACGAGCGCTCATACGTTCACAGCTTCACACTTACGCTGAAGGAGTCGTGGATGGACCATCTGACCTCTGATGACTCAGTGACTCCCGGACGGGCCTCGTGATCTCCACCGCACGGCTCCAAACGCCCCGCACCATCTGTTAGCAGCTCAGGAGATACAATACAAGTGATTCATTGCAGAGGAAGTCTTAATGGAAGAGTCTGTCATGACGACTTATTTAAAATAGGTATATTCCATATCATATATTTTATTTTTCAGTTTGAGTTGACAGTTTAAATTTGTCTCAGAGTATCCGTACCATCTGCTCTTACATAAATGCACTGTGGTGATACCATGATTAATGGTGATACCGTAAATACTCCAAATACCAAAGATAATTTAGTAAATATCATAGTTAAAAAAAACATAGTATTTCCATGATAAACATCCAAAAAAAACCATGGTAAATGTGTGCAAAATCTGCCAAAAGCAAAACATAAAAATAAACAAATAGGTAAATAAATGAATGTAAAAAACAAGAAATAAAATCAAATAAAAGTAAAATAAATCTAAGTAGTACCATGGAAGAGGTAACGGGCAGAAAAAAATGGTAGTAATGTGAAAAAATTGTAAATAAAAAAAAAATAAAAAATACAAATTGCATAATAAATATATAGCTAAATACACATGAAAATAAATAAAAATGTACTTCAATAGTGCATATCTATAAAAACCTGATATTTTCATGGTATTTTCCATAGCGCATGTGAGATGAAATAAAATTTAAAAAAAAATGAAAATAAAATACAAACAAAAACAGAGTAGTACCATGGCATAAGTACACATCAATAAAACAATTATGTAACAATAAAAGCTGATTCAAATCTGCAGATTTTTGTATTAGTTTGGTACTAGTTAATCTGCTTCATTTGGTAGAAGGGATTCTGCCAGGGTTAATTATGTCAAACGGAGCTGACAGCACCACACTTTTATTGGTAGCACACACTCTATTCAGAGATTTATCACCTGCTTTTCTCCTTCAGTAAGCGAAAGGTCAAACGCTGGAGGTCCATCTGTGAGGCCGCCAAGATTCATGGATAAAAGTCTGATCACAGAGGGGGAGAAACACACAGTAAGAGGGAAAGCGAGATCCTTCCATCTCTGTCTGCAAACCAACACGAGCGCTCATACGTTCACAGCTTCACACTTACGCTGAAGGAGTCGTGGATGGACCATCTGACCTCTGATGACTCAGTGACTCCCGGACGGGCCTCGTGATCTCCACCGCACGGCTCCAAACGCCTCGCACCATCTGTTAGCAGCTCAGGTGATACAATACAAGTGATTCATTGCAGAGGAAGTCTTAATGGAAGAGTCTGTCATGACAACTTATTTAAAATAGGTATATTCCATATCATATATTTTATTTTTCAGTTTGAGTTGACAGTTTAAATTTGTCTCAGAGTATCCGTACCATCTGCTCTTACATAAATGCACTGTGGTGATACCATGATTAATGGTGATACCGTAAATACTCCAAATACCAAAGATAATTTAGTAAATATCATAGTTAAAAAAAACATAGTATTTCCATGATAAACATCCAAAAAATACCATGGTAAATGTGTGCAAAATCTGCCAAAAGCAAAACATACAAATAAACAAATAGATAAATAAATGAATGTAAAAAACAACAAATAAAATCAAATAAAAGTAAAATAAATCTAAGTAGTACCATGGAAGAGGTAACGGGCAGAAAAAAATGGTAGTAATGTGAAAAAATTGTAAATAAAAAAAAAATAAAAAATACAAATTGCATAATAAATATATAGCTAAATACACATGAAAATAAATAAAAATGTACTTCAATAGTGCATATCTATAAAAACCTGATATTTTCATGGTATTTTCCATAGCGCATGTGAGATGAAATAAAATTTAAAAAAAAATGAAAATAAAATACAAACAAAAACAGAGTAGTACCATGGCATAAGTACACATCAATAAAACAATTATGTTGTAAAATAAAATAACATAAAATAGCAAAATAAAATAACATACAGGTCCAAAAAACATGGTATCCAAAAAGTGATTTTGTCATGGCACATGTCCAAAAATGGTATTACCATCATTCATAAAACTCTTGAAATTCTTCATTCAAATCGCTAACCTGAAACAGCAAAAACAGTGAATGTTCAATTGAACAAGCCTCTCTAATTACTGTTAAATCTTCTTCCTGAGTGTAGGAGCTTTAAATTTGTCTCAGAGTATCCGTACCATCTGCTCTTACATAAATGCACTGTGGTGATACCATGATTAATGGTGATACCGTAAATACTCCAAATACCAAAGATAATTTAGTAAATATCATAGTTAAAAAAAACATAGTATTTCCATGATAAACATCCAAAAAATACCATGGTAAATGTGTGCAAAATCTGCCAAAAGCAAAACATACAAATAAACAAATAGATAAATAAATGAATGTAAAAAACAACAAATAAAATCAAATAAAAGTAAAATAAATCTAAGTAGTACCATGGAAGAGGTAACGGGCAGAAAAAAATGGTAGTAATGTGAAAAAATTGTAAATAAAAAAAAAATAAAAAATACAAATTGCATAATAAATATATAGCTAAATACACATGAAAATAAATAAAAATGTACTTCAATAGTGCATATCTATAAAAACCTGATATTTTCATGGTATTTTCCATAGTGCATGTGAGATGAAATAAAATAAAAAAATAAATGAAAATAAAATACAAACAAAAACAGAGTAGTACCATGGCATAAATACACATCAATAAAACAATTTTGTAAAATAAAATAACATAAAATAGCAAAATAAAATAACATACAGGTCCAAAAAACATGGTATCCAAAAAGTGATTTTGTCATGGCACATGTCCAAAAATGGTATTACCATCATTCATAAAACTCTTGAAATTCTTCATTCAAATCGCTAACCTGAAACAGCGAAATCAGTGAATGTTCAATTGAACAAGCCTCTCGAATTACTGTTAAATCTTCTTCCTGAGTGTAGGAGTGTCAGTTTATGATACACACACCTGGTCTGTTCAGTCTGAACCGGACGTCCTCCGTCAGTAATTACAGCATCATTCACTTCACTCAAAGCTTTGAAAGGCTTGATAATCATGTGGTGATGTGAGACAAACCCACCATCACAAACAAAGAGCTCAAGCAGTGACCTGTCAGTCATTTTACCCGTTTGACAGTCTCTGACAGTCAGGTGCTGGAACTGCAAGAAATACTGCTGCATCAATCCTACAGTTTCATAGATGATGCTGCTAGCAACAACAACAAAGATCTTGTTTATCACATGTCCATTTATAATATCATACAACATCATTTTGCTTATGTACGAAGTTTCACGTTTCTTTTTGGTTCTGTTTTATCACCTTTGCAATGCTTTCTTCATCCTTCTTAATCCCAAAATGCACTGCAGTGAAATAAATAAAATAAAAATAACTAAATAAAACAAACAAGAAACACAAAAACTAAAAAGGTATTAAAACACCATGGTAGCAAAATAAAATAAAAACACAAAAAAGGTTTTAAAACACCGTGGTAGCATGGTAGCAAAATAAAATAAAACTAAATAAATAAAACAAACAAAAAACACAAAAAAACTAAAAAAAGGTATTAAAACACCATGGTAGCAAAATAAAATAAAAACACAAAAAAGGTTTTAAAACACCATGGTAGCATGGTAGCAAAATAAAATAAAACTAAATAAATAAAACAAACAAAAAACACAAAAAAACTAAAAAAGGTATTAAAACACCATGGTAGCAAAATAAAATAAAACAAAATCCAAGTAGTACCACAACATGCAGAATAAAACAGTAGTACTAATGTGTCCGGGGAAAAAAACATGTTGGTAAAATGTTAAATGTGCAAATAAAATTTAAAAAAAATACAAATTGCATTATAAACTGTAACAAAGTTCGTAGTCATGGGAAGAAGGAGGCGGGAACCGGCGAACATTAAAGATTTTAATAAAATAAACAAACACAAAATGAAAGTAAAGCGGCAGCCCCTCGCGGACGTCTGCCGCACACAAAACACAAAATAAACTCCAGGCCTGGTCCTCTCTCGTCCAACACGGTCGTGACTCCTCCTTTATCCTTCCGGAGCTCCTCCGTGAGACTCGAGACCGGTGAGTGGTGCAGGTGTCGCTCATTATCAATTACTCCACTGGCCTCGCTCCGTACCCACGGCTCTCGGCCCCGCCCCCACTCGTCACATAAACGTACATGAAAATAAATCCATCCAAGATGAAGTGAGAGAAATTCTTATAAATATATTCATTCAATCAATACTGAAAAGCAAAAATGATTAATAATTAGAAATGTACTATTTTACCCAATCTTTGTGGTGGTATGCAGTTTTATCATATCGCATTATTAACTCAGCAACATGCAATGGCCAAACATTTTATGGACATAAAAAAATGATAATAAAATAAAATAAAATAATGAAATAAAAACGTTTTTTTTTTTAAAGCATGACTTAAAACTGTTTAAAAGCAATGAGTAACTTTATTGAATTATTTTTCAGTAACACAGAATGACAAAGCAATTCAAGTGTGTAATTTCTGCAAAAACTAGTTCAATTGCAGAAATTAATGACCGTTTTTAAGCATATGGAGGCCCATAATGATGCATTACTATTTTACCTACATATTTTCTTAAGATCACAAAGGTTATCTAAAGAAACACGTTCTTTTACATTTTCCTTCATATTTAATGATATTTTAATGACAATCCGATCAATCCAGATGGATAAAATCAGGTTCCACCCCACATTATTTCTTATTGAATATCCAGAAATGCGCCAGATTATGAACGTAAAAAGTGTTTCAAGTTATTTTAAAAAGACCTCTAAACAGGTTTAAACAGGCTGTGAATATTAGAACATGAATAATACTGTATTTGTTCATGGCTGTTGTGTCTGGCTTACAGGAGGGAAGGAGAGACAGACAGAGATGTGTGTCACTGTTGCAGGGCAGGAAGGATCTTCCCCTCACACAGACCGAACCCCACTCTATAGCCCCTGCCCTCACAATAACCTGCACAGAGAGAGACCATAACCCTTATCACAGAGATCACATTTCCATCAACACACATCTCCGCAACATTAAACAAGCACACACAGACTCTAGAGGCCCACCTGAGAGCGTGACCTCGTCCCCGTCCTTCAGGAAGGTCCTTGTCTCTCCATCGCCGAGGTCAATATTCTTGGATCCCCTCCATGAGAGCTCCAGCATAGAGCCGAAACTCTCAGGATCCTTCATGCACACAAATACAGAGTCAGAACTATTTGTGACCCTGGAGCACAAAAGCAGTCTTAAGTCGCTGGGGTATATTTGTAGCAATAGCCAAAAATACATTGTATGGGTCAAAATTATCCATTTTTCTTTTATGCCAAAAATCATTAGGATATTAAGTAAAGATCATGTTCCATGAAGATATTTTGTAAATTTCCTAGCGTAAATATATCAAAACTTAATTTCTGATTAGTAATATGCATTGCTAAGAACTTCATTCGGACAGCTTTAAAGGCGATTTTCTCAATATTTTGATTTTTTTGCACCCTCAGATTCCAGATTTTTCAATAGTTGTATCTCGGCCAAATGTTGTCTTATCCTAACAAACCATACATCAATGAAAATCTTATTTATTCAGCTTTCAGATTGGTCCAGTGGTTTTGTGGTCCAGGGTCACATTTAATACAGCTCTATACAGAGAAATGTTTGAGAAATGTGCTTTTTCAGGTAAATATGACAAAAACATTTCTTAATAAATATATATTTTTTTTATTAGTAATTATCGTTAAAATGAATAATGGTAATTACTATATTATTTACTCAATTTAACTGATTGAAATTATATAAAAATGTAAATATGTCTTCCAGTGCATTTATTTAAAATAATTATTAGAATTTTTTTTTTTTTTTTACAATTAATAATTAAAGTGAATTTACAGAATTTAACAGATTGAAATGAAATAAAAATAAATGTATTTACTTGCTTTTTAAAAATATTATTAATTATAGTTAAATGTAATAATTCAAGTTAATTTTTATATTATTTACTGAATTTAACTGATTGAAATAATGTTAAAATATAAATGTGTGCTCCAGTGTATTTACCTAAATTAACTATTTATATTTTTATAATTAATAATTACAATTTAATACAGTTAATTATTATATCATTTACAGAATTTAACAGATAACATAAAATTGTAAATGTTATTTTCTTAATTAATTGTTTTTTTTTTTTACAGAAGACAAACATTTCTTAATTATTTGCAATATTTTATGATTATTATTAATCTTATTGATTGTAGTTGAAATGAATAATTTAAGTCTTCTAAATGTGTCTTCCAGTTTATTTACCTAATTTTTTTAATCTTTACTAATAACAATAATATCAAAATATAAATGTCTTCCATATATATTAGTGCTGTCAAACGATTAATCGCAATCCAAAATAAAAGTTTTTGTTTGCATATGTGTGTATACTGTGTATATTACTGGGGAAGTCATGGCCTAATGGTTAGAGAGTCGGACTCGTAACTCATAGGTTGCGGGTTCGAGTCTCGAACCGGCAGGGATTGTAGGTGGGGGGAGTGAATGTACAGCGCTCTCTCTCACCTTCAATACCACAACTGAGGTGCCCTTGAGCAAGGCTTCTTTAACATATTCTCTCTCTCTCACACACCGGTCCGCTGATGGTGCCTGATGCCAGCAGGTCTGCCGGTCTGACGTTGCAGCCGTTGACTGTGTGGTGTGCCAGCTGCTGTTTCATGGACCAGTACATGTACTGAGAAGACACACAACACGTTACACATGCCTGCTGTCTGTTACTAAATGAGAAAATGGCTTTCTCTGCATGTGACGATACAGAAAGGCTGGAAATGGAATGAGTTTCTCCCAGAACCGATAACACAAGGAGCCCAACACAGAGACGGAGGGGAGTTTCACTAAGAATGAATAGCTTTGTTTATTTGCTCTGCACAGTCTGTGTTGTTTTAGTGCCCGATTCACTAATGGAATTATGCAAATTAGGTAATGGCGTGAAGTTGCAAATCTAAACTTGCACGGGGCAATTTGCGACGAGGCAAACAGACCACATATAAACAGCAAGAGTGTGTATTTATGCACAGAAAACAGCACAAAACAATTCCAGTGGGGATAAAATAATCTCTATTAGGTTCAAAGTGTAATCAGAAAATATTTTTACATTTTTATTTGCCCCAAATTGTCAGTATTTTGTTGTTTCTTGTCCCAGTGTGACCAAACACTTACAATATTTTGGCCAGCAATTCTGCATAATTGTGTAGAGAATGTTTATCATTGCCTCTATGCAATCATAGATTTCTTTTTTTTTAATCTTTTCTGCTTCATATCTGGTTCATGCTGGAGTTTTTCCAGATGTATAATCAAATGGGTACAGTAAGTTGTCAGTATGAGTTATTTCTGAAACAGCAGTGTGCCAATGCAAAACAAATGCAAATCTCTCTCTTACCTTAAAATTGGACTTGCAAATGGTGGCGGCCTCTCGCATCCCCTCACCTGGACAGATGAGAAACAAACGAGAAGAAAACAAGACTCAGTGCTTTAACATGCAGCGTATGCATAATGACAGACAGATGTTACAAATACTGACACACACCTTTCACAGCGACAAACAGGTTGATGTTGAACGTGTAGGGCTCATCGTGACGTAAGTATGGAAGAGGCACAGGATCCTGAAATGACAATAAAATAACATTAGGAAAACCTCACCAGACATTAAGTGCACATCTCAGCCAAAGCCTGAAAATCAAGTCTTCTCTTGTGCAGAAAGGCACATCTGAACTCTGAATATTTGCATCAAGAGGTCATGGTTTGTCAGGTTCACATAGTCCAGATAGCTTCTGGTATGAGATGCTGGAGCTACATAGTTATCCATGCAGGTCAAAAAGCCATTCAAATGTAGATGTGCATCTGACAAAAAATAAACAAGTAAATTAAAAAAAAAACAGTTTTACCTATGCACAATATTTATTTTGATGGCTCTTAAAATATTTTGTTATATATTTGTTGCTGCTCTGTATCAGGGTTATTATAGTTAACTAAAACTTTAAAAAAAATAATTACTTGAAATAATATAAAATATACTTATTTCAGCAAGTTGCCAAGACAACGTTTTGTTTATTTATTTCTCAGTGTTTCTCATTTTCTAAAAAAAAAAAAAGAAAAAAAAAAAAGAAGTAAATACTATATAGACTAAAAAAAAGTAAAAACAAAAAAATTTCTAACATTAAAAAAAAAAAATTTGTGAAAAATGTAATATTTAAAGATGAAATATAATTGTAATTATATTTATTTACTGAATCAATTTACAAAATCTCCTGGTAGACGGCTGCATTGACTTTGGACTTGACAAAACACAATGGACCAACACCAGCAGACGTCACGGCACCCCAAATCATCACTGACTTCAGAAACTTCACACCTTCAAGCAGGCAGCTTGGATTCTGTGCCTCTCCAGTCTCCTGTTGCTTGTGCACCTTTTCCTACCCAATTTCTTCCTTCCAGTCAACTTTGCTTTTAATATGCTTTGATACAGCACTCTGTGAACAGCCACCCCTTTCAGTAATGACCTTCTGTGACTTACCCTCTTTGTGGAGGGTGTCAATGATCGTCTTCTGGACCATTTCCAAGTCAGCAGTCTTATTATTATTATAGTCCCCATTATTGTGGTTTCAAAGAACAAGAGATACCCGGAATTTATACTGTAGGGATGGTCCTTTAATGAAACTCAAATGTAAATATTCTAATATTTCGAGATACTGGATTTTTGACATTCATGAACTGTAAGCTCTAATCATCAAAATTAAAACAAAACAAAAAAAACTTTTGAAATGTTTTACTTTACATGTAATGAATCTAGAATATATGAAAGTTGCACTTTTTGAAATAAGTTACCAAAGAAATTAACTTTTTCACGATATTCTAATTTTTTTTAGATGCACCTGTGTGTGTGTGTGTGTGTGTGTGTGTGTGTATATATATATATATATATATATAT